TTTTTCTCTTGAAAGTTGAGTGAGTTAGAGGACTGTAAATAAGGATAGATTGTCACAATTCTCGCAGTACATGTAGAATAACAAAATTGTGCACTGTAAATTGTAATTCAACTAGTGGTTACTTCTGGAAGGGTTGCTGCTTTTATCCTCTGTGCAGTGTAGAAATGTGGTTCTTGGTACTGATGTGTCCAGACTTGTGCTGCACATCAGGAGTTACTCTGGATCTGTCAGCTAAACTGACAGTACTTCAGGCCCTGGCACTCAAGGTTAGCTCATGAAGCTTAGGGTATTTGCTGCCTGGAGTGATTGTGCCTCGAGCAGCGATGCCCACTTCAAAATCTCAAATTTCTTACCCTTACACTGCAGGGTACAAAGCAGCAGTACTACACTGGGTATACAGAAGAGAGTCTTGTGATGACTATGAAACATATGGCCAAGAATGTGGTCAAAGTAAATAAGAAGTTAACAAAATACACTGTAAGTATAACTACTTAAATCTTTTTCATGTTTTACAAATAACTTTTGCTGTGTATTGTGGCTCCTTCAGTAAATGTTCTGTATGTTATCTTGGAGCATATGCTATTCTAATAAGCCTGTGAGAGGATGTTGCATTAGTACTAACTTCAAAACATTTTAGGCAAGTGGTGCTTTTGCTACATTGCAAGCGCGTTCACTTCAAACCTTGTTTGTTTGCTTGTTTTCCAAGCAGTCAGGCTAATTGACCTAAAATTATCTGCCTGAACTTAAATACTGTACATGTAAATTTTTTTGTAACACTGTTCCTCTATCTTTCTTTGCAGTCTGTAAGGAGCAAGTATGCAGCTGTCGAACTACTGTCAATCAGCACAATCCCTCAACTGAGCGGCGAGGTAATCGGGGACATGGCTTTGTCACTGTTATGATAACCCCAGGCAGCCGCATCCTGCTGGTATATGCACTTTGTCCTCATTTGCCTGTTGAGGCAAAACTACTGCTCTTTGTACATAGCATTCCCGCCTTACTACAGCCATTTCGGACTCACTCAGAAGGTGGAATTTTAAACTTGATTTGTAATACAACTCTCTATCTAGAAATAAAGCTTCTCTTTTTAAAAAAAATAAAATTACAAAAAAGGTACTGTGACTCTTTAAGGCACTACCTGGACATGCCTGCAATCGAATGTCCAAGCAGGACGTTTGACTAAATAGGTGATTGATAGAACGTGCAGTTCCATGTGGATGATTATTCTCAGTCATTGTGTCCAATGAGAATCTCCAGGACTTATAGTGGTATATTTAGTGACTAGTAATATGGTATATTTAGTAACTTGTTGGTTTTACTGTCAAGGTAAGAAAGCACAGGCAGATACTTCATCTTATCTTGGTGTACTGTAAAGGATACTAAATATGTACTTTATCTGAGTGCCTTGTCCCAAAGAAATATACAGGAATTTCTCTTTTTGTTGTTTGTTGCGTTCAGGTT